GAAGAAAATGTTGGAAAAACTCTTATAGACATCAGCCTAGGGAAAGAATTTATGAGGAAGACCCCAAAAGCAATCACAGCAACAACAAAAATAAATAAATGGGACCTAATCAAATTAAAAAGCTTCTGCACAGCCAAGAAAACAATCAACAGAGACAATAAACAACCTATAGAATGGGAGAAAATATTTGCATACTCTACATCTGATAAAGGGCTGATAACTAGAATCTATAAAGAACTCAAGCAAATCAGCAAGAAAAAATAAAACAACCATATTAAAAAGTGGGCAAAAGACATGAACAGAAACTTTTCAAAATAAGATAGACTAGTGGCCAACAAACATGAAAAACTGCTCAACATCTCTAATCATCAGGGAAATGCAAATCAAAACCACAATGAGATATCACTTAACTCCAGTAAGAATGGCTTTTATCAAAAAGTCCCAAAACAACTAATGTTGGCATGGATATGGAGAGATAGGAATGCTCATACACTGCTGGTGGGACTGCAAACTAGTACAACCTCTACGGAAAGTAGTATGGAGATACCTTAAAGAACTAAAAGTAGAACTACCATTTGATCTAGAAATTCCACTAGATCTAGAAATTCCACTACTATGTATTTACCCAGAGGAAAAAAAAGACATTCCATAAAAAGGTCACCTGCACTTGAATGCTTATAGCAGCACAATTCACAATTGCAAAGATGTGGAAATAACCCAAGTGCCCATCAATACACGAACGGATTAATAAAATGTGGTATATATATACCACGGAGTACTACTCAGCCATTAAAAAAACGGTGAATTAATACCTTTTGTACTGGATGGAACTGGAAACCATTCTTCTAAGTGAAGTACCGCAAGAATGGAAAAACAAACACCACATGTACTCACTATTAAATTGGAACTAACCAATCAACATTTGTGTGCACTTATGGAAATACATTCATCAGAATTCAAGCAGGTGGGAGGAGGAGGAGGGCATGGGTAAATTCACACCTAATGGGTACAATGCACACTATCTGAGGGATGGGCACACTTATAACTTTGACTCAAATGGTACAAAAGCAATTTATGTAAATATTTGTACCCCTGTAATATTCTTAAATGAAATTTAAAAAATAAAATAAAGCAAAAAGCATTACCAGAAGGGAAAGAAAGTCCCAAAACAACAGATGCTGACGTGGATGCTTACACACTTTCACATTGTTGCTGGGACTGCAAACTAGTACAACCTCTCTGGAAAGTAGGATGGAGATACCTTAAAGAACTAATGACTGAGCATTTTAATTTTTAGACAACATCATTTCACCCTCGTCACAGTCTACACAGTCTGTCACTGTTCTTACCTGTGTTATAAAAGATGGTTGATTCAATGGTGCAATTTTTGAAATAGGTATCAGTAGATGTAACATCTTCAAAATAACACTCATCAAAGAATGTGTCCTCAAAGAGTACATGTTTAAAGTACATCCTCGTGAACCTGTAGAAAAGACATTAGCCCTGAATGATTCATCCAAGAAAAAAAGAGACTTGAGACCGAAGTGAAAATACAGAAAGGCAGAAAGGGAAAAACTGAAAGTCAGAAGGTGCTGGAACATGATTTTCAACCCAGACTAGTTCCCCATTTCTTAGCTCTTTGTTCCTTAGTGGGGATGGGCTTCAGGACTGGAAGCCGGTATCTTGTCCAGGTTCATATGGTTCCCAAATGCGGGTCCATGGAATGGACCCTCTGCATCAGAAGCACAGCAATGTGAAATAGTGTGAGATGGAAATATTGATAACATCTCATTTTCTAAGGAGCTTTAAAAACATGCAGGATCCTAGGCTGGTCCTATAAGGTTTGGAAGCAACATATTTGTGAGGGTCTAACAATCTTCATTTTTAAAATTTCCCCAAAAAAGAAATGTGGGGAAGTAGACACTTTCATTCACACTATTGGTAGAAAATAATCAGCACAGCCTCTTTGAGGAGCAATTTTGCAAAATTTAAAATACACATTCGCTTTGACCTAGGAACACCACCTGTAGGAATTTATCCTACATATGCTTGCTCATGTAGTCAAAGAGATACACTCACTGATCTTTATTGCAACATTGCTTATAACAACAATGGATTACTACCTATACATATACACAATAAATAGATAGATACCATACAAATGGAATACCGTGTAACCATTATAGTAAATAAGGTAGATCTATATGCATTAATATGGAACAATCATTAAGATACATTGTTATGTAAAAAAATCAAGATGCAATATAGAGTTTATAGCATGTGACCACTCATGTAAGAAAGGGTATGGTACATATGCTTCCAAATATTGGAGAGTTACGCTGGAAACTGGAAGAAGTGATTGGTCCTGGGGAGGTGAACTGGGGTTAGGAAGGAGGTACACAATTTTCACTTTATACCAAGTGTATGAATTATTTCTTCACTTAAAGAAGAACTCAGTTAGTAAGGGGGGAAAGCATCCAAACGATTATGAGGTACATTTGGGAGCCACTGCACTACTTCAGCTCCTACATAAACTAATGGGAAAGAACATTATTACATTTAAAAATATATCGTGCATACAGTAACACCATCCTCTGTTGGCTATATTTACCTAGCTTAGTCAAACTTGGAAGCCTTTGGCTATGTCTTCATCTGTGAATAATTACAACCCGTTCATTCATTCATTCATTCATTCTACTGTTCATTCACTTACATATTCATTCTTCTGCAAACACTTACTGAGCGTGGTACTAGGTGATACGGGTACAGAGAGAAAAGACACAATCTCTACCCTCCAGTCTAACTGGAAAACAAGAACAAACAGACAACTATAATACGATAGGAATCAAAGTGACAGAGATAGCACAAAGTGCTAAGGGTCATTGTTCCCTTCAGGGCCACCAAATAACTCACTCCATGACTACATAGGATGGCCAGTGCCACTCACCCTTCATGCCATATTATGTTCTGCTCAGAACCCTAACCTACAGCCACCTATCATTACCTTCTGCACAAAGACCTCCCGCCCAACAAGAAGTCGTGGACAAGTGCTTGTTGAAGAGAGGTCCCCAGACCACTAGCATCAGAATAAAATAGGAGGTTATTATTAAATATACAGTTTCCTAAATTCCAACCTAGACCTTTTGAACCCTAATCACCCAACCAGATTATTATACTTACAAAAATTTGAGAATCATTGGTCTAGAAAACCAAATTATTTTGAAGAATTTTTCTTAGAGCCAAATGTGCTACAGACTTTCAAACAGGGGCCTTCAAAAGCTATCATTAAACTCTCCGGGTTTCCACAGAAATTTAATTGGTAAGCTTTTTGTTACAAGATGCCCCTGATCTCAAAATTTGTATGCTAGATGTGTTTACTCAGGAGAGCTATTCCTGGAGACTGTGTCAGGCTTTTGCCTTTCTTAATATATCCCTCTCTTTAATATAGTAATAGGCTGGTGAGGTGGCCTTCAGTGATATTTTAATATTCTTCCAAGGGTGGGTGAGAAAGCAGAGCTATAAATCACAAATGGGTCTGACGCAAGCAGGCCTTAAAAATGTATCTCCAAGTGTGTTATAAAAAGCCAAAGTTATAAGGGAAGAGATAAAAGGAGAAAGGGCCAAAACATATTTTATGAGTCTTTATATAAATCATCTCCTCCAGTCTAACTTATATACCAAACTGGCCCAAGATTCTTCATTCAGGATAGTTCAAAGGCTAAAAGAAAAGTCAGCAAAAGTATTAGTATCTCGTGAAACATTTACTTTAAGGAAACAGAAGCCATTGGTCAGCCAGTGCCTGTGATAGAATTATTATTACAAACACTTTATTTCAGCTACTCTCAGGCCAAATGCTTAGTCCACTAAGTGATCTAAATGACGTTAAATTCACATTCAACATGTGTTAGGCTTGATGGCTTCACACTAGAGAGACTCAGTCTAATTAAAGCGATACATAAGAAAACTGACAATTAAAATTTAGTGTGGTCATTATCAGTATAGAGCTATGCTATAAACTCACTTCAGAGGGGGCACTCGTGACCCAGTCGGGTAACGCATGATGTGACCTGTCCTGAGGACCAGTAAAAGCTGCGCGAGCAAAGACGAGGAAGTGCATCCGAGGCAGAGGGAACAGCATGTGCACACACAGAGGCGTGTTACACGCACCCTTTAATTGTCTTTTTTTCTAAGTAAAGAATTCTCTTTCCCATAAATTCCATCACCTTTCAGGGAGAAGATAAATAAAGGAAATGGCTCCCCAAAGCTCATACAAACACCCGACCATAATAAGCCCTCCAGGCACAGTGAATGAAAGAGAGCTCTTCAGAAAAGAACCGGAACCCTCCTCTCTTACATGTTACCTTATTTCAGGTCCTAATCCGAGGTAAAGCAAAGCACACGTAAGAGGGTCAATCACTTCAGAAAATGCATGCTTGGGCCGAATTGCTTAAAGTAAACAGAGGAGACAAATTCTTGCCTGAATGCTCTATATAGGTTCTTACATTCTCCACATGTAGGCATCAGGCTTGTACCCGACCTCCGACACCACTCTCCAAAACCTGAAGAGTCCGACTTTCAGGACTTAACGCCCAAGAGCTCTCGGACAAGTCTCTTCTCTCTGGGCCTGCATTGAAAACCGTATATCATAGCGGTATTAAGGAGATGGATTTTTGATCGCTAGCATTTGTGATTCCACAAGTGAGGAGCAGTTTTACCGTGTGTATCCCTGAGAAAGAAATAAGAGAGCGGACTTGGAAGATGGCCATCTTACTTCCCTAAATATTGAAATGTTATTTCATGGACAATCAGGAAATGTTTAGGACAGGAAATCCTGGTGCCAATGTCAATCAATAGTCCGTCTAAGGACATACACTGTTGTGCCTCAGTGAATCTGGAAGTAAATACAACGTCCTCTCTCCATCTTCTCTTCCACTTAAGGCTATTCGAGTGCCGAAATCGCGATACCTCATACTGCCTCCTTTACATAGATCCCAGCACATTTACTGCCTTTGGAAATAATAACCGAAGCACAGAACACAGGACAGGCCAGGCGTGGTGGCTCACGCCTGTAATCCTAGCACTCTGGGAGGCCGAGTTGGGAGGATCACTTGAGGTCACGAGTTCAAGACCAGCCTAAGCAAAAGTGAGACCCCTGTCTCTACAAAAAATAGAAAACTTAGCCAGGTGTGCCAATGCATGACTGTAGTCCCAGCTACTCAGAAGGCTGAGGTGGAAGGATGGCTTGAGCCCAGGAGTTGGAGGCTGCAGTGAGCTGTGATGATGCCACTGCACTCTAGCCTGGGTGATGGAGAAAGAACCTTTCTGAAAAAAAGAAAAAAAAAAGAACATAGGACAAAAAGGGAAATAATAAAGATAAAAGCAATTATTAAACTAGTAGGAGAAAAACAGTAGAACAAATTTATATATAAATATAGTTACAAACATCCTAAATAAAACACTAATTTAACCATACCAAAATCTGGAAACAATTCAAAAATCCCTTCAACTGATAAATGGATAAACGAAATGCAGTTATACATTTATATCATGGAATACTACTCCACAGTAAAAATAAACAAACTGCAGCACATGCAACAACATGGATAGATCCCAAATGCATCATGCTAAGTAAAATAAGCAAGTACGAAAGGCTTCACATCGTAGGATTCCATTTATGTAACATAAAGAAGATCGCTGGATGCCAAGGGCTGGGGTAGGGGAGGACTGATTTAAAATGGCAGGAGGAAGCCCTGGGGGGTGATGGAACTGTTGCGTATCTTGACTGTGGTGGTGGTTACATGACTGTATGCATTTGTCAAATCTCGGAACTGTACACAAAAAAGGGTAAATTTTACTGTACTTAAACTTTACCTCAACTAAAAAAGGAAGTCCCAACAAGTTTCTAAGGTAACCATAGCTACAACAAAACCCAAACCAAGCTCAACTACTGACCAGCCTAGCAAGTCACGAAGTGGACACATTTCTTAGTCTCTACTGTCCAATACAACTTGCAACCAAAATTACAAGACACAAAGAAGCAAGAATAAAACAACACGATGTCAAGACATAATAATTTAAAACATAAGACTCAGATATTACATGAATACTGGAACTATCAAGCAGGGGAGTTTAATATAATTATTATTGACATATTAAAGCCTTAAAGGAAAAAGTAGATACCATACACGAGCAGTTGGGGAATTCTAGCAGAGGATGCAAAATATAAGAAAGAGTCAAACAGAAATGCTACAACTTTTTAAAAATGAAGTTTAACAGATGATAGGAATGCCTTTGATGGACTCATCAGTAGACTCAGAAAAAAAAAAAGAATTACTGAAATTATATATAACACAAGAGAAATTACCAAAATTGAGACACAAAGAGAAAAATAAGGGGGAAACAGAAAAGAACATCTAAATTCTGTGGGAAAATATCAAGCAATCGAACACAGATTTATAATTACAGATATAATAAAGACTTTAA